TAACTCCTTAACGTTATATGAAAATATCTTCGTGTAGGATACTCTGCTGCTTTCCCTTTATAGACAGTCCCCTAAAGACTGTCTCTACTAGAGGGCATAGTCCCCTCCCCCTCCTCACTCTCTATAGAGCACAGAGCAGGGCCTCGAGTGTGTGTTTTTCTCTCAATAATTCCATTTTTCTGTGCAGGTGTACTATGCCAAAAAGAAGCGACGGGCACAACAAAACCAAGGGGATGACTCATCTCACAAAAAGGAGAGAAAATTGTACAACGATGGCTATGATGATGATAACCACGATTATATTATCAAGAATGGTGAAAAATTCCTTGATCGGTATGAAATTGACTCTCTCATTGGAAAAGGTTCCTTTGGACAAGTGAGTTCTGGTTTCAAATAATATGACTTTTAATCAATCTAATCCATTATGTCAATATATGATGATTTATGTACTTAATTGGAAATGTCTTTACTAGGTTGTGAAAGCTTTTGACCATGAGGAACAATGTCATGTTGCAATCAAAATCATTAAAAACAAGAAACCATTCCTCAACCAAGCTCAGATTGAGGTAAAGCTCCTTGAAATGATGAACAAGGCTGATGTGGACAACAAATATTATATAGGTACGTTATTTTCTGACGATTTACTGTTTATGGTTAGACTTTTAGCCACAATGTTTCCAGATTTTAGTCTGAGGTTTTGAGAGCAGTTGCACTTTATTCCTGGACCCTCAAAAATCGATTTACAACAGCGCAGTACTTTTGTACTTACTTCCTTTTCTTTTTTCCAGTGAGACTGAAGCGACATTTTATGTGGCGTAATCACCTTTGTCTAGTCTTTGAATTACTGTCGTACAATTTGTATGATCTATTGCGAAATACTAATTTTCGTGGAGTGTCCTTGAACTTAACGCGAAAATTTGCGCAGCAGTTATGCACTGCATTACTATTTCTTTCAACCCCAGAGCTCAATATAATTCACTGTGACCTCAAGCCAGAGAATATTTTGCTGTGCAATCCTAAAAGGTCAGCAATCAAAATTGTGGACTTTGGTAGCTCATGTCAATTGGGGCAGAGGGTAAGTAAAATAAAATATCTTAACTGTATTTTGTACATTTGGATACACTTGATAAGTTTTTCATAAAATTGTATTCTTTGTTTAAATTTAGATATATCAATATATACAGTCTCGGTTTTATCGTTCGCCTGAGGTACTTCTAGGCATTTCTTATGACTTGGCTATTGACATGTGGAGTCTTGGCTGTATATTAGTAGAAATGCATACCGGGGAACCATTGTTCAGTGGCGCCAATGAGGTATATTCCCTTAATGCATCTTTATCTATCTTATTTTCCTCTTATACTGCATGTA